TGGTCAAGATTTATCACCAGAATAAAAGCAGTTAGTTGTATCTATCTCTTTTTAACTAGATAGTTTTAAGATCGAGTCAAGTGTGTGTGAAGGAATAGGGATGCACAGCTGAGGCACACAGCAGGACGCAGCTGCGTGGATTGGAATCACCTTTAGGTGTTTTGGAACTGACCTTTCTCAGGTTATTTCTTCCAAGCGGAAAGGGTGTAATGCATGCTGGTTGGTTGTCACGTTTTTATAAGTACTTATAAATTATTGTAGTCTTTCTAGTTAAAAAAGCTGACTTACATCTGCTGCAGTTCTGTGTTCCCTCCATTTTAAAGCTGGGTAATACTGTTCATCCGGTTGCCATCTTCTGGAAGTCACTTCCTCCCTCCCCTCCATAAGCTTTCCAAGCTTTCAGCTCGTGGCTGAGAGTTCACTCTGAGCAGTATCAGATTTTCCATTTTATTTTTCCCAGCTTAACTCTTGATTGTTCACAATAAAACATTTGCTTAGTTTCATAAAAAATTGAAAAACAGTTCAAAATTTTTAATCAGGTAAGGAGCTAGCTGTCCTGGAAACAGAAATCCTCTGCTTAAATTTATCTGTTTGTCTATTTAACACTAGCCCCTTGCTAACCTCAGCCCTGATTTGGAGGGACCAAGGGTATGAGGCATTTCAAGCTCCTGGTTACAGAAAGTTAACTTCTCCTAGGTGTGTCTGTCAGAGACTTCTAGCAGTGAAACAAAGATGCATATAATGAGCTTTCAGTCACCAGTGGTTAAGAAAGTTTTTTATTTTGAAGAAAATATGATCTGAATCAACAACTTGTGATGAAATACTTGATTATTTGGTTTCTAAATTTGTGTTGATAATTCCTTTTTTGTTTTCTTCAAAGCGTCTTTATTGGTGGGCCACTGATGCAGTCTAGCATGACAATCCTATGTTCCTGTACAGTGCTCTACTACCTTTCTTTCTCTAGTTACATATGAGTAAGAGAGTACTCAAGCACTTCAGTTAAAGTGGACCAAATCTTTGAAAGTATTTTTTTTTAGTAAGTGCAGGTTTGGTTATTTGTATTCTATATTCCTCTTAAACTATGTTTATATTAAAGATGCGTAGTTTCATTAAACTGTTAGACATCTACACTACCATGATCAGCCTTTCAGAATTCTAATAGTACTTCTTAGGCAGCATAAACCAAAACTTTACATTATTTAATGATAAACTTTAGTATTTAGTCTTATTTATGAATGTTTAGAGAAGACCAAGGATTCTATAAACATGGTTACTGTGGGCGAGTACAATGGTTTGAAGTGACTTTTTGGTATATGAATATGGTATGTATGTAGCAGAAAGGAATATTCCTTTCGGTCTCTTCAGCAATCCAAAGCATGAATGGTTAAAAAAAATTGCTCGCAGTACATGGTCTTCTTTAAACTGGTGTCACTTGCAGCACTGATAGTGGTGTAACAAAACTTAAAATTAAGGTAAATAAGTTTAAAACATTGTTAGCAAAATTATGTCAGAATATTTCTACTGGTTTTGCCAAGGTGCACTATGCCGCAGTTGTGCTGACACAACTATTTGCAGGCTTGTACTGTCGATCAGGTCAGCTCCCCGATTTCATCTGTGGTTTTCATCATGGACTCACAAACAGTTCTTTGGGTGTAATTATGACAAAAATGGGCTTCAGTGTAAAGATGTGAATAAGTAGGAGCAAAGCAATGTGTACTATACTGAACAATTTATATACTGAAATTGCAGTCTAGGCAAGCCCAAAGATGTGATTGTTCTGTTTTGGTTCCGATTTTCAAAAGCAGAAAAACTTAAATACTCATTGGTGTTATATTCTAACTGTAACTGTTTACTTATCAGTGAAGTTCCTGTGGTTGTATGACCAGATCATCTCGTGATACTTCAGCTGAAATACAGAAAGTTATAGCTTAGCATATTAAAGAAAATAGAAATCACTTTCTTAAATCTTCAGATACTGGGCTGTAACTACAATATTTACTCAAGGGCAGAGGAACTGGTCTTGAAGCAAGGAAAGAAGTTTTGAGATAAGGTGGATAAGTGTGTGTATATGGTCCTATGAAAACATTCACTTTCAAGTCAGGCCTCTTGTGTTAGACTTGTATACAAGCATGTTACAACTCTCATTTACTTCAATCAGATGTCTGAAGTTTAAAGTTGTTCCCAAATAAACTTTAGTGATGTTCCTAATTTTTTACTGAAGCTTTGAGTTCTTGTCCTGAGCAAGGTGAAGAATGTGCAGATTTGAACAAGCTTCAGTAGATCACATAAAGACAACATTAAAACATTTTTGTTCTACTGTAGAAGGAGATAAATACAAAATTGTGGCTAGAGCAGTGAACTGTGACTTTGGGGTCTAGATTTAGGTATGAGTCATTACCTGTGAGGCTTTGGGCGGGTTGATCTGCTTCTGCTTGTCCTCAGGAGAAGTGTTCACCCATTTTGTATCGAAATTTACATTCTTGCAGAGATTGTGGATATGTATTAGCATCTTGGAACCACAAACACTATTTTGATGTGGAATTTCATGGTACTACATGTTTTGAAGGGACATAAAGCATCATGAGAATTATTTATACTAGAGCTGTTTAAAGGCCATACCAGCATGCTCCTGCTTTTCTGTGTAACTTGTTGGGTTAACTTCTTGCATTATTCAGTTTGGGTTTTCTGGTGGTTTTGTGGGGGATGGTGTGAGGGGGTAGGGATTAAGACTTCCTTGGACTGGGGCCTTTGACTTTGGCAGCATTGTATCTTAGGGTCATTTGGGTATAAGAGGTGTCTACACACTTCTCAAAATATAGCCAAAAGGCTTTTGGGTCTTCCTCATAGAATGAGTCACATGGAATTTGGGACTGCTCTTTTATGTTTGAAAGTGTTAAAACACCTTGTGTGCACCTTCCCCTTGATTCACAATTACCCATTTGTTTTTAAAAATCGTTATGCTATAATATAGAATGGTAATAAGGTATAAATGGCTTATATGGCTGTATGAGCCATATAGCATCATCTTTCCTAGCAGTTTTTCGGTGGTGTTTCTTGCATTCTTGCTTCTGCTTGAGACTTGATGTTCCTTACAGAACTATATGGGGTCAAGATACACTTCCTCTTTAGTCTTCGGATGGAGTGAGTGCCTATGTGAAAGTATACCCTGAATCACAAGATGAGTTACGGTAGAAGCATCAGGGCCATTCTAGGTTGACAGTAGGACTCTTAGACCTAGGGATTATACTACTTTTGTTAAGGTTTGAAATAGTTAGTTCTTATAATAGGTGTTAAACCAAGCTACCGTTCAACTGATTAGAACTGCTTCTTTGATCTTACTTCCCTTTAAATAAATTACATATTCAGAAAGGGAAATGTATCTTTGAAGATTTTCCTATATCTGTGGAAGAATATTTTATTTAGTAACATTATCTTTTTCTAAGATATAAAATACTTGAAAGCTGAAGACATGTATTCAATTTACTGTGATTTAAGATAATTATCAAATTGTAGTAATTTGGAATTATTTCAGTGCTTTTTCTCCCATGCAGATGAAGCCATCTGAAATTAGTATGTGTGAGATGGGTTAACTTGGTATGTATGTATGTAGTGGCAAAACTGCTTATCATTGCTACCTTTCTTGGAGCCTTTTCCAAACATATGGAATGTTTTTCTGTGAGGAACAGCTAAGTTAGGACCTATCAATCTGGAAAAGAGATGACATGTCTGGGACACATGTGATGGAGGCTTACAAAATCATGACAGATAGGGAGAGAGTGGGCAGAAATTAATAACTCATTTCTTCCAATACATGAAGTAGGCGATCTCAAACAAAGCTAATATGAACCAGATTTAAGCAAAATAAAGCCCAGTCCCTGACCTTCGTACAGTGGATAGTAGACCTGTGGAATTAATTGCTAAAGGGTGTTGTGGAAGCTAAAAGCTGATGTGGATTTTAAGGGAATCTGGGTAAGTTCATGAAAGATAAATGGTTTGAGACTTGGTAAATGTAGAAAAATCACATCTGACTTAGCAAGTTCTTCTAGAGGAAAATGGGAGCACATTTGGGATATATATTACATGTTCTCACTCTTCAATGGCATGAATTTATAGCCATTGCTGAAGATCAGGATACTAATAGAAATGGATCTCATACTGACCCAATATAGCTGCTGTCATGCAGTTCCCTTGTATCCTGTTGCTAAAACTGATCATGACTTTCTAATTCTTTTCTAATCCTGATGTATGAAAATCAAACTGTTAGCATGCCAGACTCAGAGGAGGGGAAAAAAAAAAGATCAAAACATGCATCTTCCCTTACAAGGCACTTAGCTCTCCCTCAATTCTTAGTTTATAAATACTTTTTTCCACTGTCCATAGTGGAAAAATGTAAATGTGAGGCCACAGGAGCAACAGGAAAGTCTTGCATACAGTTATAAGAAAGACCACTGAAGGTGAGGCTAGTACAGAAGAATTTTACTTGCGTAATTAAATGGTGTCATTTCAAGGAAGGAATAGGAGACTTCAGCACAAGGAACCTGTCCCTGATACCCACCCTGCTCATTGTATATCTATCTTGCACATTTATACATTAACACAGATTATTTTTTGACCAGATTTCTGGTCTGTTGGATTTGGTTTACCAGGAGTAGAATCTAAGTAACTGGTCTTAGAGAGAAATGCAAGTAGTTCAGCTCTGGCAGTTTATGATTTTGATCAAACTGGTTCTTGCAGCCTGGCTTGACCTATGAGCATCTGTCACCTTTTCTTCTATTTATTTATATCTTAATATTCCTTCCACCTCTGTAAGTCAAACTGGCCTACCCCTGTCAGTTTTCCTCTCTGAAGGAAGTAAATGTACCATGCAATGCAGTCTGCTTATTTTATCACTGTGAAAGTCAAATTCTTAAAGGTGAAATAGTAAATCATGTTATTTCTATCATTCTGACTACAGCTGAATGAATTACAAAGAATATTTTCTGTTTGTGTCCTCTAGGTACGTTTCTCATATATGCGGATGAAGTATCTCTTCATCTCTTGGTTAGTAGTATTTATTGGCAGCTGGGTTACATATGTTCAGTATTCCACCTACACAGAACTATGCAGAGGACATGACTGTAGGAAAATAATAGTAAGTATATTTAGCATACCTTTCGTAAGTGTTTGTCCTGACTAGTTCCACAGCCAATTTCGTCAGTGCCGCATGTAAATTAATCAAATTCTGATATTCCATCATGTTGAAGTAAGATTACATCTTCAATTACGGATAAGACCAGTTATGCTTCTTAGCATTGTTTTCATACAGGGTTATTAAAACTGTTTTCTTAGATTTTTCTTTCAAGAGTCAGGTGTTGGGAGAGATACAGTTGTTGCCTCCTTTCTTGGGCAATTTGTTAAATATTTTTCTCCCTGTTTGTTTCAGTGTGATAAATACAAGACTGGAGTTATTGATGGGTCAGCATGTAGCAGTCTGTGTGCTAAAGAAACACTGTATTTTGGAAAATGTTTGTCAACAAAGCCCAATAAGCAGGTAAGGCTTTACTCATCCAACCTAGTTTTATTATTTCCCACTGAAATGTCATTGTCTGGAACATCAAGTAGACCTTAGTGTCAGCAAGCTGTATCTGTTTAATACAGGTAATTTCAAACTTTATTTGCCGTGACATGCAGAGCATGTTTGTATATATGTATATAATATACCTATACAGAGAGAATATATAGGTATAATATATATTAATAATATATTATACAACGTACACCTATATATAATACACCTGTGTATAATATTATATATTATTCCTGTATGTAGAGGAGTATATTATTATACATATATTTTAGAAATGTATATAAAATATACTGGATCCTTCCACAATTTGACAGAATAACTATACTTTTCTACAGCATACTACTTTTCTGCTAACCTGCTTCCCGAATAGAAGCAGCAGCCTTTTAACAACCTATGCAAAGGTGGTAGTAATGCCAATATACTGTTTATCAAGTTGTTGTTGTATTCTGACAGTGTAGTGTCTCCTAAGTAGCTGTGGTAGCATACTGTATTTGAAGTTGCCATTGTTTGAATGTGCTCTGTGCATTTTCTGTACACAGGACTTGGTTTTCTAATCTGTGTTGCTACTTGATTCTTGAAGCAGTGGTTTAAGTACAGGTGGTCTTTAGATGATGGACTTCTACAGTGTTTACCTTTTTCCTTCTTTTCCTGAATAGATGTATTTAGGAATCTGGGGAAATCTGCAAGGTGTTATAAAATGCCAGATGGAAGAAGCTGCTGAACTTGATTTTGGTACTGACCCAGAACCAAGGAAGGAAATAATCCTATTCGATAAACCAACAAGAGGAACCACTGTTGAGAAATTCAAAGAAATGGTATATGGTTTTTTTAAAGTAAGTATGTACTTATTTATTCTATTTTGACAGAAAGGCTTATTTTCCTGCAGCTGGAGAGAATGCCCTATTGTATGAGCCTTGTTCAAGTGCGTGTTAGAAAAATAATTAGCACAAAAATAGTTTTTCCCAGCAGTACTTACCTCTAAGTTTGAAGTAACTAATTATCAGGTTTTTTCTTTACCTTTTTAACAGATGGAAGCTGGTATGCATCTTGCATGTTCACAGCTTTCACTTGCATTTGTATAGAAAATATTGCAAAATAAGTTGGGTTTTTTTTGTTTTTTTGCTGCTTTTGGTATTACTGTAAGCAAATACAAAGACTGAAGCTTGGGAAGAGTTACTATGTTAACTGAGCAGCAGGATTGAAATCTCCCCAACCAGACCCCCCAGCCATAATTGTCCCAGTTCTTCCTGTGTTACATTAATGTCATACTTATTTCTATTGCTGTAGTGCTACCCCAGAATTTTGATGCTGTATCAGTACTGATTTGGTTTTTTTTTCTTAAAATTCTCTTGCTATTGTCATAGCACCTATGTTTCCAGTGATGGAAATAATGCTGTTCTAGCTGAGTGAGCGTATGTGTACACATCCACACACATGTAACAGAATCATGTGAAGCTGATGACAGTTGTCATGCATTACAGGAGCTTTGTCTTTAAGAATGGGTGAGCAGCAGGTGCTTTAGAGTAGTTTTTAGGAGAATTTGGGAAAAATTTATCTGACTTTCTGTGTGCATTGGTGATAGTTGAAAATGCAGCAGTTCTGATTCCAGCAATGGCTTCTTTCTCTGTATTGATACAATGGAGGTGGTTATATCAAATAACAAAATTAAGTATTTCAGTACACTTATAGTGTGTCTTGGTACTTTTTATAGTTGGCCAAAATGTAGTTGATACTGTAGTTTTGCTACATCCTGTAAGGTTTAATCAGCTGAAAACTAAACCTGCTTTAAACATTTGAATTCTATGTATTGTTTCTAAGAGAATATTTAACAAACTACCTGATATGATTTTTCTAAAGACTGATCTGACCAAGAACAATGTTTGAATTTTAACGTTTGCATTTTGAAATGCAGAGAACACTAGTACTTTCAGAAGATCATATACTTGGTGCATTTGAAAACAGAACAAAAATGAAGCTCTTCAGGCATCTGATAGCAAGTCCGGTAACATCTGTGACCAATGAAAACTAGAACATAATGTACTCTACCATACTATCTGTAGAAGGAGAATAACAGGAGGTAGAAAGAAGGTTGATTGGTGGTAGTTAATGAAATCATACTTAATCTTTCTTGTTTGTTGCTTTTAGGCAAAATTGGGTGAACAAGGAAATCTTTCAGAACTGGTTAATCTCATCCTATCTTTTGCTGATGGAAACAAAGATGGTAGAGTTTCTTTACCAGAGGCAAAATCTGCATGGGCACTTCTGCAGCTAGATGAGTTTCTGTTAATGGTGATCTTGCAGGATAAAGAACATACTCCCAAGTTAATGGGTTTTTGTGGGGATCTCTATGTGACCGAAAGAGTTGAATATACCCCTCTCTATGGAGTGAGCCTTCCATGGATTATAGAACTCTTCATTCCCTCTGGCTTCAGAAGAAGCATGGACCAATGGTTTACTCCATCGTGGCCAAGAAAGGCAAAAATAGCTATAGGGCTTTTAGAATTTGTGGAAGATATTTTCCATGGACCTTATGGAAACTTTCTTATGTGTGATACAAGTGCCAAAAATTTGGGATATAATGATAAATATGACTTGAAAATGATGGACATGAGAAAAATTGTGCCAGAAATGAATTTGAAGGAAATAATTAAAGATCGTCAGTGTGAATCAGATTTGGACTGTATTTATGGTACAGACTGTAGAACTCTCTGTGACCAAAGCAAAATGAGATGTACCACAGAAGTAATTCAGCCAAACTTGGCAAAAGCCTGTCAGCTACTTAAAGACTATCTGCTTCGTGGTGCTCCTTCTGATATCCATGAAGAACTAGAAAAACAACTGTACTTGTGTATTGCCCTTAAAGTCACAGCAAACCAGATGGAAATGGAGCATTCTTTAATACTCAATAACTTAAAAACTTTATTGTGGAAGAAAATTTCCCATACAAATGATTCTTAGCTTCTCCACCAGCAGAAGATAATACTGATGCCTGCCACTAGAGGTGGCTTACCACATTTGATAAAAACAATCATCTGCAGCATTTTTTTAAAGATGTTTCTCTTCTCAGATTTCTCTTTTAACACTTGCCATTCAGTCAGTACCTTATGACAGCGCTTCTCAAAGAATGAACGTGTCACTGAGTGATTGGGCAGAGGCCAGAAGCACTTCTGGTATGGAAATAAAAACCCTGCATGCTTGACTGTTCTGTGCACTTTGTCAGATCTTGAACAGGATGAAAGTTATTCACTGTGCCACCACATCAACTGATGGAACCATCTTACAATTCTGTGAAAATCATTGCTCACTTGTGAAATACCTGCAAAAGATTTTTATCCTAAGTAGTCTTATGAAGAACCGCCACTACTACAAATGTGTCTGAGTCCAAGCTGCTGTTGTGAATAAACTGAACTGAGATTGAAGTTTACTAATACCTTGGCATGGCAGAATTTGCACATTAATAGTTTTGAAACTGTGGAAAATTAGAATTTTATTCTAAAACTGACAGGTTGTAATATGAGACTTAAATCAGATTCTGTTTATACCTTGTTACCTCATGCTTACATCTTGAATGTTTAAGTAGTTCAACACTTTTTAAGTCCTTATACAGTGAATGATGTTGGGAGGCAAGAATTTTAGAATGTTATTTCTTAAAATCATGTATATAGTCTAGCAGCAATATCAACACCCATTTTAAGAACTGTGGATTATTGTACTTAAGTTGAAACCTTAGACCCAAATTAAGCTGTAGTAAATATTGAAAAGGAAGGAGTTTGTGGACTAAGCTGTTGTAGGAAAACTGAAATTAATTAATTTTTTTAAAATACTGATAGCAGAAATGTCCTAACAGTTAAAAAAAAGGAAGCTTGCATAGCATAGGAATCTACTGTATGACCTGTGAACCAAGTATAGTAGTGGATAATGTCTTGACTCTTTACTATCCTTGCAAATTTAGCTACAGACTTGTACTTAAATCCTCTTGAACTACTGCAGGATGTAAGCCAGAGCTAGACCTGAACTGTAGGACAGAAGCTGGATTGTTCAGGGTCATGGAATATTGCTTAAATAGGAGCCTATGAGATACTAACAGCTAGGAATAAGGTGCAACGTAAGTGAGCTGTAGTGTGGTGTTGTTTTTTTTTTTTTCTAGTAGCATCTATGAGTCAGTTAAATCTCAAGTCATGAGTAAATAAATGCCATCTGATCCTGGCATGCCACATGGCATGACCACTGTACCACCTTTTGTCTGCATCTCTGTTTCTCAGATTTACATTTATGTTCACAATTATGCAGAATTAGATGTCCATAAAACACCTTAATACTGTGCTCAATATTTATCTGTCAATGTTTAATTTATGAATGCTTTAGGTATGAAGTAGTTTAATCCTTAATGATTTTAATGGCAGTCATCCGTATACTTCTACGTCCTGGCCCCTTAATTCATTTTCAGCATAGGTTAAGAAGGACAAGCTTTAAATAATTGAAAAGTTATTAATTGCTTTAGGTATCCTGTATTAAATGCATTCCTTAAATGACTAAACCAAAGTCATTAAACCATAAAGTCCTTTCTCCATACCATATGTAATAATATGCAGCTTGGGTTAAGAGTATGTTTTGTGAACATCAGCTTTTTAGTTTAAGAATTACTATGCTAATTATTGTCTGTAACTTGATAATGTCCTTAAACCATAAACTAGTAAGTATTTGTAGCCAGCAATGCACTCAAGTGGTCATGTTCTTGGTGGAAAAATCTGACTGTAATTGCAGAGATTACTGAACCCAAAATGATGTTGGGTATTTAAAACAACTGAAAAACATGTTTGATAGTGCAGTTTGTTGTACAGAACCTTAATTTTTATTGCTGTTGCATCAAGTTGGAGCTTTCATTGGAGAAAAAAAATACACTTGTTTACAGTAAATCACAGGCCTCCTTTTCTCTTTGAATCTATCAGTATCTTAAAGCATATAACATTCCTCCATGTGGCCTACTTGACCCATGCTTTAATGGTGCAAGCAACTTCAGTAAGTCTAATGGGAAACAAGTAAGGGCCTATGAAACTGAGATGTTGGAGAAAATAAGGGCTAGGGACAAAAAGTGAATTCTCTTGTCTAATTGCTAAATAATGTGAAGTAGTCAGCATAAGTCAGTATCAGTTTCAGCAGCAGCCAGAGCTTGGAGCTGAGTGCATGGAAGTGGGAGCTGAGTGCATGGAAGTGCTTACTTCAGTTACTGGAGGAAGCTTAAATACTTAAATTAGAGACATATTCCTGTATCAGCAACAGTAAAGTTAGAGCAGGGAAGATGTTGCTGTTTGTGTTGTTGAAAGCCTAAGGCTGCCTTTAGGCTGTGACTACTGCTTTTTTTCTTAAGCTACCTACAGATTCCCCCATAAGTATGCTGAAAGAAAAATGGTGAAGGACATGTAAAGCCCTTCTCATAAATTTTTAGTGTCTTTTTATATTTAAGAACTTGCTGCTTCTATCTAGTCCTTGATACTGGTCACACCAAAAATTAATCAAACTGATTTCCCTTTTCTGTGAAGGAGTTCAATTTATACAGTACACTGAAAGGGGAAAAAAAAATCTGGATCTTAAAAAAGATTCTGCATCTTTATAAGAAATTAATAAGCCAGTCTTACACAGTTGCTTTCTCAATAAATTTATTGCCACTTTTTCCAAAGTTTCACAGAAAAGTGTGGAAGTTGTCTTAACTATCAGCTGCGCGCTCCTGGGCCCTGAGGAAGCTAGCCTTCTTCTGAGCAACACGATCTTTCTTCTGGGCAAGGGACATCTTGGGACAGTTCCATCTGCAATGTAAGCACAGCATATGATGTATCAAAGGTATAAATAAGGAAAAAGGTGTTTAAGAAAGCTGCAGTGCACCAGAACTGTGATTGAATGCTATACTAGAACATATTCCCACTTCTGTAACACACTTTATTTCCTCCTAATGATTTAAGGCTGTAGTCAGGGCACCACAAAGAGGCACTGTTAGACTTCACCCATTTAAGTCCTCAAGAGGTAAGCTCAGTAATCTTTTGTGGATAGACAGTATCAAGCCCAACGCAATAGCTATGCCTTCATTTCTTTTCTCCCAGACCCCTGAAAAATCAAAATAGTTTAGCATTGACAAATTAGTCAGCCTGCTCTCACCTGAAAAGAAGCAGCTTTCCCACTGAAAACACTTAAGAGTTCCAGCTATTCAGGCCACAAGCATGCTCCACTTTGATTTTTTTTTTTTTTATACACTTAAAGCTAACTATACAGAAATGCTTGTATCAATCTGATCTAAAACACGTGAGTTTTGACACAACTGCAATGTCAATTACATTATTTGTTTTAACATAACTAAAACATATCTTTCACAGAGAAGTCACATTCATATTAAAAGAGAATGTGAGTTTTACCTCTTTTTCTTGACTTCTCTCTTGGGTTTCTTTTCATGGACTGGATTATCCCGTATAGCAGCATGGGCTTTTTTATACATTTCTTCCATCTTAAAAAAAAATAAAAATTGTTCAATTCTCCACAGTAATCCAGTTGTAGGATCATATAAAAAAATCCAAGATACCTTTACCAACTATGCACTAGAAACAGGTTTCATCACAATCCAGCTTGTAATTTTATGTGGTTGCTTTTCAAACACTTTCTTCATACAGAAGATCACTGCCATAGTATACCAAAATTCCTACTATTACTATGATACAGTTTAAATATCTAAACCCAAAACAGAGAAAGTAATTTGATCCTTATTTTACCAATGCCATCAAGTAACTACAGACTACTTACATGTCTTACAAATACAGGCTAGCATCTTGCAGTTGAAATACTATTTCCTCTGAAGCCTACTTTTGAGTGCCATAGCTTTCTCACATTTAAATTGAAAGGCAGTCTGGAAAGTTATTCTACCTAAAACATTGTTTACTTATTAAACGAAAATTATTCCACACAAACTGTCATCAGACATGGAATCTTACTACTTTTCAGACCCTACTATAGTACACATTACAAAGCTGCTCACTAAGAGGGAAAAAGAAGTTCTGAAAGCAGCTACAGATTAACAAGTCTTGCAAGAACCATGACAGTCCCTGCATTGTCCCCAAGGGTGCATTAACACTACTCTGTCCCAAAGACAACTATGGCTCTATAATTGCACCATTTTAAGAATACCTTTGCTGGATCCCAGCTGTGAGAAACTTTCTAGCTGTATTAAGTGTCTAGCTATCAATGTAAGTCCTGGACTCATTTCATTGCAATAAAAGCTACAAATACTGTTTAGTAAAATAGATGAAGTTGGCATTTACAATACAACATTACTTAGTAAAGACTAAGTTAAAAAAATTAGCAATTAGTTAACTTTACAAAAACCCCCAAACCCCATAGCAATGAAGGGGTAAAGAATGAAGTTAAGTCTTCTATAGCCTAAAAAGGGGACATGAGAATGTTTCAAGCTTCAGAACCACTAATTGGGGAAACCAAGCAAGAATATTGCAGGCAAGACAAGCCATCTGAAAAAAGTTTAACACTTGAAAGTGAAAGAAGCGCCTTGGTAATCTTGCATATCTTCTAACGTTTTGTACAAAATACTCTAAGTTAGATGTATTACACTCTGCAGGTTCACAAGATCCTAGCTTCTACAATCTGAGCTAGCTAGGGCTATTCTATATTGACCTATAACCTGGAACTACCTCTAGGGTCACACAAAGCATAAAACAGATTTGACATCCTCACAGTTGCAGCCACCACAGCTACAGAAGTGACAGGCTGTGGTGCAGGATTAGGAAAAAATGGGTAGCATGTACAGAAATTTCACTTTTTTTTTTTTAAATATGGAAATTGAAGTGGTCCAGGTTAGAATGAAGTCCTGTAAGCTTATAGGCAGAATGTTAAGCTTCACACCAGGAAAAAAGATCTCACTTTCAGAAGATCTACGATATACTATAGAGCCCTTAATGAAGGAA